TTAGGACCGGTTGAGAAAAAAACCCAAAATAAAACTATCCCAATTGGGTAAGCCCAGACTTAAAATTGGGCTCCTACTAGAGCTGGCAAAATTATGACTTCGTTAGGGCTAATTTTCTAACGAATTTGGAAGCCAACATAGATCTGGTTTGTAGATGTATGCCCAGTGACTTTGTATGGTTGGATTTTTTTATTTTTTATTTTATTTTATTTTTTTTGAGCGTAGAGTTGTTCAAATTACTCAGTAAAAAACTGAACTAAATAGATTTCTTTGGGTTAGGTCAATTTGATTTTTGAGTGTATGAGTTTGGTTCTGTGTCTTCAAATCATTAAACTTATAGAATTAGGTTAGTTATTGGTCAACAGGAAAACCAAACATATATATTTCAAAATTTTACTTATATTAATATGTGTTCACTTAATTGGTCTATTATAATGGACTTGAATTCAACTAATAAATTCCCACATACAAGAATCATTAGGTGAACGAAGAAAGTTCTAGAAGTATAAAGTTTGAGTCAGATTTCACAGTTGATTTAATTTGCATCAGTTATATTAATAAATTTAATTAATATTGGTTATGTTTAAGTTTGAGTTTGAGTTTGATTTAATTTGTATTAGTTTGCATTAAATAATATTTTGCTCTAATTTTATTTATTTATTTATTTTTCTTTGTTCTAAATCAACAATGGACAACATGTTAAGTGGGTGCGTCCTCATAGATGTGCTATGAAATGTCTAAAATATAAAATCTGATTTTGAGTGTTGATGTTGTTTCTCAAAAATAATTGCGTATTGACAGATGCAGTACATTTATGGTCAGTTTTTAAAATCATGAAAAACATTGATCCAACACATCTTTTATATTTATATACCTATATTATTATTAACTAAAGGTGTCAATTGGTGTAGTAAAATATTTACTATTCTTATGCCAGGTGTAGTGTTTTTTATTTTTAAAAAAAAAATTGCACAAAAAGGTGGGTAAGGCTTAAACCCACGACTATAGGTTTAAGGTAGGAGGACTCATATAATTTAAGTACAGTACACATTAAAATGTTAATTTTATTATTATTATTATTTATTCTTATTTATTTGAATTATACATGTATCGCATGTGCCACCAGTAAGTATTAATTAATGGGAAGGAAATTTATTTATGTATAACATTATTCATACAAGAATGAGAGATTACATATTAATCCATACACTCCATGTTTTAGAAACACATGCCTTAGACATTCTGGTTGGTACAATTCTTGTTGAAGCGAAGGCTCCGTTTGGGATATACATTTGGGTTAAAGTAGTCATTGTGGGCTCGCCTTTTTCCGCGCCTCCCACCTTCGGAAAAGGGTTTGAAAAGAAGGCCTCATAGTTCGGACTCTACCTGTGGTTCTAAATCTAATCTCACAAAGTGCAATGTGAAACTGATAAACACTAAAGAGTCCAAATCCAACAAATCATTTTGGAAAATCAATTTTGAATCAAATAATGCCAAAACTGGACTGCTTTGCCAGATTACAGAGTCGCCACCTAAATATTTTATTTTGGGAAAATTTAGGAAACCCTGACTCGTGCCAAAGGCCACGTGTCCGTCATCACCAAAGTTTTCTCGGCTCGGGAACTTGGGCACGAGAGGGGAAGGTCCTGAAATAAGCACCCCCGCTCGCCCGATCAAAAGATCGGCCTCTACGAATCGTGATATGTTCTTTTATAAACCTTATGTGTTCTTGTTCCGGTTATTAGCTAACTTTCCTATGTGACGCACACAAGCAAGTATAGACTAAAATCGCAAGCATTGGAATGAATTCAACTCATGTTTGTTTTCGAAAATGGTTTGAATTTTCCACCCTCAAGTGGGCTTAGAAATGCAGATTTGCCACCTCAAGTGGGCTTAAAACATGATTTGCCACTTCGCGAAGTGGGCTTAAAACTCACATTCGTTGAATCGTTCCAATTCAAACAATCAAGCCTTCATCCACAGGCAATCATGCAGTTTAGCATTTAAGCACATAGCCTCATTGCAAGCATGCGAAAAATGGCAATATGGCAATCACACTCATGTAAGTATGCTAAAGCGTAAAACTTACTGAGTACTCTAAGCCAAAACAAAAACTAGTTAGAAAGATGCATGATCTTAACTATACAAGATGCCTAATGCAACACATGAAATATGAAATTAATAGGCTCGGCTACTAATATGGCATACGAAGCAACTTGAACAACATGCGATTAAACACGTATTCAAAGAAGTATTGAAATGACTATGCAATTTGAATGATGCGCCAAGCTTTGATGCAAGCAAGACAAATGAATAAATGCAAACATACGAGCATAAGGTATGCTAATCGAAACATGATCCCTAATCTAACCATCAAAAGTGGATAAATAAAAGGAAGAAAGATGCGGGGTTAGAAGACATGCAAACACGCACGCACACTTATTATAACATTACGCCCTCGTGAAGGAGGGTCCGAATGAATAAGCTAACTAACTACGCGAATTAAGCTAAGTTATTACAAACCAAAACTAATTAACTATTCTAGTTAACAAATTGTTACAAACCGAATTGAATAACTAGCTATGCTAAGCTAATTAAATAATTATTACACTTGAATGAATGAATTAGCTACTACTAACTAATTAAACAAAGCAAGTAAATGGCCTCGAGGGCGAGGGACGCATGCATGCTCGGTTGGTTTCCTTTCGAAAATCTACCGCCTTGCCATCGGATGCCTCTGTTTGCACATTTTTTATCACTGAATATTGCGCTAACTCCCAGAACATCTCTTCTCCACCTTAGGAACACACTGAGCAAAATTCCATTTCTGGGCGGTCGGCTAGTAATGGTCGCTGTCGGCTACCATTAGTGGCCGGTCGGCTACTGCTGGTGGCCGGTCGGCCACCCCTTCCCCGAACATCCCTTTTTTGCTGCAATAGAGAGCAAACAGAGGCAAAGTAGTGTATTCTCAAGGAGTGTATGTACTGCTACCCTCCTTCTCATCACACAAGCTCAAAGGAGTGCAACTCTTGGCCCTCAAACCATCAACCAAGCATTTCCATGCATGATAGCCAAAGAACCAAGCTTGTACAAGCTTAATGAGTGCAAAACAAGACTCAATAAAACCACCACTCTATCATGCATGCTCAAGGGTAACGGTGACCAAGGGAAATGGCACATTTCATCACTTTTGAATATGAAATCTCCTATTTTCCTCGTGTTCGAATTAACGTCCGATCCGAACACATGCAATGCAACATGGAAGATGCTTATCTTGCCTCTTTTACTTGTTCATTTTTATTTACTCATTTTAGCTTACCAATCCTTTCTTTAATTGATTAGTCCAAAAGTGAGTGTCCTCTAATGGAAAGAGGGCTTAAACCACGAGTGCCTCGAGCATGAAAGAGACCTCATGCCGTTGGTTAGTAAAAACCCTCAAAAGAGGATTAAAACCATTAAGCACAAGTGTCTCAATTTCATACTTAAGCTAACAAGAGGTTCCAAGCCCCTTTCAAAATAAATGAAAGAGTGAAGAATAGAGGGAGATTGCAGAGATTTCAGTGCTGAAATGGAGTGCAAACAGGCACTAAAACATGCAAGCAACTCATGCAATTCATGTTTAAAAGCCTAAAACATTAAGCTAGTGAAGGAGATTGCACTACAACCACACAATACAAGCCTTAAAGGACCAAACCAGCTCAAAACAGAGCTAAAACCAGTCAAAATAGTAGCAAAAACATGCTGAGATTGAGGTACAAAATGCTAGAAAATCATGCTCGCATGTTAAGCTATCTAGGCTTGCAAGTGAGGCACAAGGAGGGAAGGCTACCCCCTATGATTTTGGACTTCAAAACCAAGTTTTTACCACTAAAATAACTCTGAATTTCAATGGTTTAAAGGGCCAAAAATTTTGATGTGAATATGCTAAAAGATGGTACAAAAGCTTACACAATAAAGCAACAAGAAGGGTGGACTACCCCTTTACACAAAATGACCTCAAACCATCATCTGAAGGCTAAAAAATCAGAGTTTTTTGTAGTTGAAAACAAGGCCAAAAATAGTAGAGAAAGATGGCAAAACAAGTAGTCAAAACAAAGCCTACAAGGTTAGTCTTATACCTCTTGAAGCACACCACAAAACAGCCACAATTTCAGGCTTAAATCTCCTTCAAAAAACTCAAACTAAGCTCCAAGGGACCTCAGCTCCAAGGTAATCAAGTTTGGTTAAGAGTTAGTGTGCAAAGGTGTAGAGAAAATTAACTACAAAGCACAAAACAAGAAGAGAGAGAGAGAGAATTCTAAAGAGAGAGAGAGAGAGAGAATTTTGATCCAAAATGTCTAACCCTCCAAAATAGGGGAGGACACCCCCTATATATAGAAAAACAAGATTCAAGCTTGTATTCATCCCTTCATACACGTGTATGGAGATGCATTTCAGTGAACAACAGCTGGCACAGCTAGCAAACAAATATATAAAAAAGGAAAAACATGGTCGTCGGCCATCACCGATGGCCGACCGGCCATCAATGTGGCCGACCGGCCACCACGGATGGTCGGTAGGCACAAGCCATGGCTGATGGACTGTGGGGATGGTCGACAGGCCACCCTCTCCTCCAGACTTGAAACAACAAGCTCTTGGTCCTCAACCAAGCATAAAGCAGACAAGTTTAGAAGCTCAAAGGCAATGTGCTCGGTCGAGAACTTTAGGCACTCAAAATGAACACGAGTGTACAAAATCATCGAGTGTTCAAATGATGACGTCCAAGTCTTGAGGATGGTCAAAAATGGGGTGTCTACAATCATATAGAACAAAATTATCTATTTTATCAAATAGGACAAAATGTCACATTCAATTTATAATCATTTCATTTTTTCTCTCACAAAAGTCAAAAAAGCCAAAAAAAAAACTCATCTCAAATGATACTTTTTAACCCCAGGCTAAAATAACCAAAAAGCTAAAAGGCCAACTCACATTCCAAACTAATGATCCTCATTAATTAATCATATACGGGCGATATGGCTATGGATATGGATATGGAAAGTATGTGTGATGAATTTAAATGCAGTGACGACAAAAGTGACAAAGCCAGCAACGAAAGCCATGAACGTCCATGGACTCGCAAAGTATTTACGCCTTAGACGTGCCATAAAATCAAACCAAAAAACCTTGCTGTGGCGATCAGCAACACTGATTGTTTCAGTGAAATAAGACTCCTTAACAGCTTCCTTGCAAAGATTGTTGCAGAGATTGTTGCAGAGATTGTTGAAGAGCTTGGTCGCATCTTCACGGGCGCCTAGATGGTTACGTATGATTCCAATCTTATGAAGCATATGAACATCTCTGTCACTGCTTATGAGGGTATCTATAAAATTGACATATGATGTAAAGTAACGACGAACACCTGGGCGACACTGCTCGTAGGCAATGAGGTTTCTCAAGAATAGCTCGGTGAACTCGTAAAGGAACAAAGTTGGGATTACAAAATGAGGTCGACAAATAAACTTGGAAAGACCTTTATATTCACTAAACCTGATCTTAAGTTCTTCTCCGACTAGGGGTTGATTGGGTACAAACTTGATTCCTGCAAATTCAAAGTCTGATGCAGAAGGCATGGACTATTTAAGATCGTGAGTCTTGGTTTTTTGTAAGAATCGTAGAGGTTGTGAAGAATATCAAGGATATGAAGATAATTAGCTTTCTTACTCATCTTCTATTTTGTTCTTTCATTGATTTTTGATTCTGTATTCAAGATGTCGCCGAAAATGAGAAGACATAATCAATAAAAGTAAGATTTATACACGGTATAGGCGAGACTGTAAGCCCAAACAACCTCTGGAGAACGAAGAAAGGAAGCTAGTTCTCGAGCAATAACAAGTCATGTCGGATGTATTTAGCAATCAGAATGCTGCTGCCCAAAATAGGATCACGGCTTTTCTTGCATTCCTCATATTAAAACTTGTAGAGAAGTTTGAGTATGAAGCAACCATCGATCACCAACATCTCTTCGTTGAGCTTATCATAAACTTTTTCCGTATGGCATTTCTTGGCTTCCTCTAATGACTCTCTCATTTGAGTGAGACATTCGAGCATAATCAATTGACGTTGATTTGACCCCCCTCACTGGTGCTTCGACAGAGGAAGGAATTCACATAACTGGATTTGATATTGTGTACTGGTGATTTGAGATTGTTTCAGTCCTCACTGTGAAGAAGATCGATAGAGACAAGGCGAGGGGTATAGGCACTTTCGTTGAGCTTACGAAGCTCATTGGGGACATACTCTTGTCAAATATTGAGGAGGGGGGGATGTTGTCTAAAAATTCAAGTCCAATGAAGAGATGAAATCTAATTTCAGACTAGTCAATGAATGGCTAAATGAGTGGTGTGAATTTGCTACAGAATGGAAGCCAAATATGCACCTAGAGCAAGAGAGATGTTTATGGTTAAGATGTTATGGCGTCCCACTAAACCTTTGGAACAGAGACACATTAACCCAATTAGGAGGAATATGGGGAAAGGTCCTAAATCTCGATAGTAATGCTTTCCAACCAGTGTCCTTTTGCTATGGCAAAGTTAGGATTACAACTAAATATATGGAATAGATTAACAAAGAAATCCATCTGGAGTGCAAGGGCAAAATCTTTCCAGTCTTAGTTTATGAAGAACAAACTAATACTGAGAATGATTATAATTCATCCATTGATTATGCACAAGATAGTAGCTCCAATGTGATAGCCAGACAAGAGCATGAAGATCCCAAAGGGATTGAGAAAGATGAAGTTGACATAGCAAAGAGAATGGAAAGAAATGATGCTAAGCTGGCATCTTTTAATGATGTGGACCCTGTTCAGAGGGTAGAGCAGACCTGTGGCAGAGCTCAGATGGACAAGGTAGTTGAAGAATCTAAAGTGGAACATCACTGTGGTAGAGAGGAACAGGATACGGTAGTTGCAGAGACCAAAGATGGCATGGGGAGCAGCTATGAAGATGATGTACGCATGGCAGATCCATTAAAAACAAAGGCGGTTGAACTCAGAACACTTGCCAATAATGACAATCAAAGGTTAGAAGGCCACCTGTACACACCTGGTTTTATTAGGAGCCTTAGTGCATCTGCAGGGCTTAGAGTTGGCATAGACTTGGAGATTGATTTGGGCCACATCCTTCATAAGCCTGGCCCATCAGTTACAAGCATTAACAGAGTTATTAATCTTAGCTCTACTAATGGTGGATCACTTGGGCCCACAAGGACCAAATCAATTTCAGACATACCACATAATAAAGGGGCTTAATCTTGGAAGTGTAAACCCAAAACTAAAGTCAAGCTAAAAGGAAATAAGAAAGGTAAGTCTAAGGACTCACTCGATCTGAAATCATCCTCATCTTTGTCAGGTTTCATGGGCATAATGGGGCTTCCTCTAGTAAACCTCCACCAAAAAGGGCCATATTTAGAGCTGCTATTGCAGCTATGTCACTTTCAGCTTCATTTGAGAATGGTGATAGAAGGGGAAGATATATCCTAAATGAAGCTCAAGCTACAATGTAGATGGGGAAAGTTCTAGGGCTCAACTTCAAAGGCAAGAAATCTGATATTCTCCACAAAATAGCTGAATTAGAGCTCAAAGACAAAGAAAGAAATGGAGGAGAGGAGAAAGGTGGCTAGTAAACAGCTTGAACTCAGGTGATTTTGTGTTCAATTTTGTTAATTAATGAAGCTGCTGTCATTGAATGTTAGAGGCTTGGGAAAAGCTGAGAAAAATGGAAGATTAAGGAAATTAATTAGGGAAAGGCAAGTGGAAATAGCATTCTTTCAAGAAACTAAGAAATCCTCAATTTCAGAGCATGAAGCTAGAGCCCTATGGCCAAGAAGTGGTATGGAATTTATATCAGTTGATTCAGAGGGATCTGCTGGAGGCCTATTATGCATTTGGGATCCAGAGATCTTCAAGTTACATAGCTGCTGCAGCAATACAAGATTCATTCTACTCTCAGGTATACTTCACAATTCTTTTAAATGTATACTGTTAAATGTATATGCCCCAAATAATGCTAGCAGTAGAAACAAATTGTGGGATTGTCTTGTTAACTTCAAAAGAATCTTCCCTAACCCATGGTGTATGGGTGGAGACTTCAATGAGATAAGAAATATTGGGGAAAGGATTGGATGCCCTAGAAGGGACAAAGAGATGAAAGAGTTTAATGAATTTATTGATAGAAGTGAGCTAACTGACTTACCTTTGCTTAGAAGGAAATATACTTGGTGTAATGCATAGGAAAATAAGAAGTGGAGTAGGATTGGCAGAATTATGCTCAGTCTTGAATGGCTCTGTATCTGGCAAAGCAGTCCATGTTTGGCACTTTTTTCAAAATCTGTTTTCTCAAAACGATTTTCCGGATTTGGACTCTTTGGTTCAGATTTAGAACCGTGACAAATTGAGAGTCCGAACTGTAGTGAGACCAATATCGAACAGAACGGGGACTCGTTCCTCTCCTGGGGCGTTCGGGAGACGTCTACAGCACCCCTCATTTCCTTATTTTTTGGAAAGCACCTGGAAGGAAACTACTATCAATGGAGGACCTAGGTATACTCTTCTGCAGAAGCTAAAGTTATTAAAGCTTGCTCTTAAAAAGTGGAACTGTGATGTCTTTGGTAACATTTCTTCTAAATTGAAAGCAGCTGAGGAAGCGTTGCATGTATTGGATCTCACTACTGAAGACAGATCACTAGTAGAATCAGAAAGAGAAAGCAGGAAAGTGATGAAAGGTGAAGTATGGAAACTAAGCAAAATGATGGAACGGATATGACAGCTGAAATCCAGAGTTAACTGGACACTTAAAGGGGACAAAAACACTAGGTTCTTCCATGTAATGGCCAGTTGTAGACAAAACAGAAACGTCATCAATTCTATATCTGTTAATGGTGGTACTCATGAAGATCCTGTCAAGATCAAGCATGAGGCCTTTCTACATTTTAAGAAATAGTTCACAGAAGATTGGGCTAAAAGGCCATCTTTAGGAGGTGTGTTCAAATCAGTTGCAGAGAGTTCTTTCCAAGAGTTAGAAATTGAGTTCTCTAAAGCTGAAATTAAGTCAGCTATTAAAGAGTGCAATGTCAATAAAGCTCTAGGTCTAGATGGCTTCAATCTGCTATGCTTTCAAAAATTTTGAAAGGTTATGAAAAAAGAGGTTCTCATGTTCATGGTAGACTTCCACACCCACCAAAGACTTGCTTATGGGCTTAATAGTTCCTTCATCACACTTATCCCTAAAAATGAAAATCCTGTGGGATTGGGTGACTATAGACCTATTAGTTTGGTGGGCTCCGTTTACAAGATTCTCTCAAAAGTCCTAGCACATAGACTGAAAAAAGTTCTTCCTGAAGTAATCGAAGTTACTCAATCTGCTTTTCTTGGAGGAAGGAATATTTTGAATGGTGTTCTCATTGCCAATGAAGTTGTGGATAGTTAGGAAAAATCCAAAAAGAAAGGTATCATCGTTAAACTAGACTTTGAAAAAGCTTTTGACTCAGTTAATTAGAACTTTCTCCTTTCTATGCTCTCTAACTTTGGTTTTGGTCCAAAATGGGTTGCTTGGATGAGAAAATGTATCTCTACAGTAAGGCTTTCTATACTAGTTAATAGATCACCAACTGCAAAATTCTCTCCACAAAGAGGGTTGAGGCAAGGTGATCCCTTTTTCCATTTTTGTTCAACTTAAGGCTTCATTTGGGAAGTGGGTTGGCTTTTTGGCTTTTTGGCTTTTTTGGCTATTTTAGCCTGGGCTAAAAAGCTTGGTTTGGGAAGGGCTTTTCGACTTTTTGATTTTTTTGGCTTTTTTTGTGAGAGAAAGGTGTAATGATTATGGGTTAGATGTGATGTTTTGTTTGTTGTGGCTAAAATAGCCTATTTTGTCTTTTGTGGCTAAAATAGCCACAAACTATCTTCCCAAACCTAGCCTTAGTAGCAGAAGGGCTCAACATACTCATGACTAGAGCTTAAGTGCAGAATTTTATTAAGGGTGTGAAAATTGAGAGGAAGGAAGTAGTTATTTCTCATCTACAATTTGTTGATGATTCAATTATCTTCTGTGAAGCAGATATGGAGTAATTAGTAAGCATTAAAAGGGTACTTAGATGCATTGAGCTACTCTCTGGGCTGAGAATAAACTATCACAAAAGTGTTTTATGTGGATTTGGTGTTGATAATGAAGTCTTATTAGCCATGGCTGACCTCCTCAATTGCAAAGTGCAAGGCCTACCTCTGAAGTTCTTAGGTTTGCCCCTTGGTGCCAACCCTTGGAAAAAGTCCATTTGGACACCTGTCCTAGAAAACGTAAAATCAAGATTAGCAGGCTAGAAGAAAAGGCTCCTGTCCTTTGCAGGTAGACTCACCTTAATCAAATCAGTGGTATCCAACCTTCCTCTCTATTACCTATCCCTATTCAGAATGCCTTAGGGGGTGGCCAAAGAGCTAGAGAAAATTGAAGCTTCCTTCCTATGGGAAGGTATTGAATTGAAGAAGAAAATCCATATGGTGAAGTGGGCAGAAGTAACAAAAAGTGCAAGTCTTAGAGGCCTAGGAATACGAAGAATTATTGATGTCAATACTAGCCTC